CGGGTCGGGTTCGGGTTAATGTTTAATGAATAGCTTCGGGTTCGAGTCGGGCTCGGGTTTATAGCTAAACTAAAACTATATGCAGGCTACGCTGCTTTCATAGAGGCGCACACACACACATTATTGCACACGACAACACAGCACGGTAACTTTTATTTGTAAAATAGTTTCGACAGGCTACTGACTTGCAACGTTATATTTCTCTGCAATGAGGGGGTAAAATCGCTGTTTTTGAAGGATATTTCTCTGCAATGAGGGGGTAAAACGCGCAGACGCAGGTTCACACACGCAACTTTCAGCTCTCTCTCTCTCGCTAATTCAAATAAATGCGATCTTACCGCACTGCATCTCTGTGTCTGATTTAAAGCAGGCCGAATGCTAACGAGCCTTAACTGACGAAAATGATCATAATTTGCACGATGGAAGAATTATTGTCTTGTCGTAGGCCATACAACCATTCAGAAACTCGGCAGAATTTGTGACCGCTGCACCTGATGTTCATAAACTTTCATAACTGGTAAGTGTTTTTTCTTTTGCCTTGTGAACTGGCCGAGCCTTAATGATTCTGTTTCTTTACATGTATTTGCTTACTGACCGTTGCATGCAATCGTGAAATACAGCATTTTTTAAAATTGGCTATTCGTTGTGAGGAAAAAAAAAAAGATTTCGGGTCGGGTTCGGGCTCTAAATTTAACTGTGCCGGTCGGGTCGGGTCAGACGATCCCGGGTACGGGCCGGGTTCGAGCTTCACTTTAAAGCCCGTGCAGACCTCTAGTGTGACCTGCCAATACCGATTTTTGCCGATTCCGATTTTCTTTCTAAGAACTATAATTGACAGCATATACAAACAAAAATCTATGCAAATTGCAATGCAAAAATTATTTACATAATAAAAGAAATGATTAAACATTACAATTTCCCCCAATCTGGACTAAGTTACAGATTTTCTCTCACTTAAACAACTCTCAAAATAAAGTGCTCTGTGACTGGAAAGAGGAAGAAATAGTTGTAATTTCCCACTATGTTTATAAATGGTCATTTTTTTCCCCTAACCTAATTAAATGTCATCTTTCACATCAAATTCTTACTTTGTTTCAATTAATTCAGTTAGAATAATAAGAAACTGTAGAGTTGTTACCATTCAAATGAAATTAGTATTAACAAACCTCTAGCTTTCCACTGCTGAGGAAACAGAAGCTGCATCTGAAGTGGCATTAGATGCATTTACACAGACAGTTTGATGAAGCTGAGGTGCCATAAATGAATTTACACTGCAAAATTTCAAATGCATGAATAATTTTATAAGATTAATGTTTTACATATTTTTTAAACATACAAATAAATGTTGAAAAAATGCAATGATACTTTTAAATATGACCACCAGTAGGTGGCGGCAAATGTCTGTTTTAATAAGTGAGTCATGTATTCATTCATTCAACCGATTCATTCAAACGGCTGATTCATTCAGAAACCAGGCAAGTGACTGTCCTTATGAAAGGGCCACTGAATTATTGACTCACTCGATTCGTTCAAAAACGTGGATTCATTCAGTAACGAAACACCGCTGTGTGTTGCTCGGAGACACAAAACAGTTCTGCTATGGCTTTGATCGGAACTATTTTCGTCAGCAAAATTGAGCAAAAACTGTCAATATTTTGTCTAAAATCTAAGTCACTTAATTTTAACTTCTTGTTTATTGAAATACTATTGTATAAAATCAGTGTCACATTGCAGTCGTGTTGATATTCGGGGAAACATAATGTTGCTTACTGAAATCATATTTTGTAAATATCTTTTTTTTTTATGCATCTATAAATTTCTGTGAGTTACTTTGTGTGAGCTGTCTCTCTCACACACTCACTCAGGCTGTGCAAGCCTCATCTGGCACGACATAAATACATTATCAGTCGCCGTTTACACTGAATGTAATTAAAACTAGAATCATTCTCACGCGAAAAGACATGTTTACACGCGACTGTGAGCGTGCGCGTGGCTGTGATGTCATTGCCGGCACCACTGGCAATAAAAGGATCGGCTCTGAATCGGTAAGACGTGAGACTGACCCGGCCGGTCACCAATCCGGGCCGGTCATGCGAAAAATATGCCGATTCCGATCACTGGCCGGTCAATCGGTGCATCTCTAAAAATTATAATAAGAATGCAGATAAACCATATATTGTCGTAGTCGTGTGTTTATTAGTCACGTTGAATCAATGAAAGCGGTTAAATCTTCTGTTTATTCAGCAACCGCTATAGGGATTTCCTGGATTTCTTCTGGGGGTTTTTTTGCGCATGCGCATGCGATTAGGCTAAAGCTGCGATTGTGATTTAATTTTAAATTAATTGTGCAGCCCTAAGTAATCTGCTTTTTTTGGGGGGGGATCTGTAGAAAACTGCAGGACCCTCGTGTGATGACCACTCTCTCAGTGCTGCTGGGGCTGGATCTAGCTGGCATGGATGAAGAGGAAGAACCGACTCCACCCCCACCCCCTAAACCCAAAGAGACAGCTCCACCTCCTCCCAAAGAGGAAGACCTGCCAGAGAACAAGAGAATGGTACTCTGTCAAAGCAAATTTGGTTTGGTGTAGCTCTTCTCTACATGTACCCTATTTTCCATACAAGTCACACCTGTGTGAGTCGCTTTGGGTCAAAGTTGCTTTGTTACAAGAAAAAAATAAGTTGTGTGATGCATGTTATTACATTCAGATAACGTAAATTATCAGTAAATAAAATGTTCATAGATATTATAGTGCCATTAATTATAAACAACATCTGAGTTTATAAAGGCTAAACCTTTAAACAAATTTGTTTAAAGTGAAACTGAAACCGGCGTTGGACTCCCATAACTCTTTCGGCACTAGGGATGTAACGGTATGAAAATTTCTTATCACGATTATAGTGACCAAAATTATCACGGTTATCCGTATTATCACGGTATTGTTAAAATGTGCTGGAGATGTTGAAAAAGTACCGACTCATAAATCACTTTACCAAGTTTTATATCTAAAAATCAACAAACAACAAATAAAATGACATTTTGTTTGCATAATCACTAAAAGTAAATCCAGCAGGTGGCGCTTATGGAAAAGCTGCATTAGAGCCATTTCCCGTAACCTCCATGGACAAAGCAGTATTGCGATTAAGAACACTTCCTTTAGGTATTACATGGAGCGAAGATGAAAACAAA